CCCATGCTCCATCAGCCGCCTTTGTGAGAGCTGCCAGTTCCTGGTGATGTCCGGGCTCAGGAAACCTTCCTGTACACCATTGTCGCCTGCTCCATTCAGGGATCATAAATACCCTGAGCATACTGTGTAGATTATTTTTTTTTCTTCCTCCTGTTTGGAGTCTAATAATTGATCAAACTAAATGATATTTGGCCAAGATCGAACAATCATGTTTGATAGTAGCTGATGTCATTGCAATTATTAGTCTTAAGGCTTATGAAGAATGCAAAGACCTATACTGGCAGCATGTACATATTTTTAGAATGTCCTGGTGGTGCATCTGAAATGAGTATCCTTGATCACAAGGAGGTCAGGAGCGATTCAGTAGTCCTGATGTGATAACCAAGAATCACAGTCTTCTCTGGGAAACAGAGTAAGTTAACAGTCCTTGGATGTCCTCTGAACTTTTTTCCATTCAGAAAATGTGACTTTTTTTTTTTTTTTTTGCAGCAATGCTGAGTGACGATAACTCTGTGAAGCTGAAAAGTGATTGTTCACCTCCTGTGCAATGGTGTAAGGTTACAGCACATGAAGATGAGAAGACCAAGCTGGTTTTTAAAAGGTACTCGCAAGTAAGTGTCATTGTTACAGCAACATAGAGGTCAGTTGCTCTCCCTCTAGGCTAGGCAGTTACAAATAGGATACAAAAATCAAGGGGTGGGATTGCTATAGGAACGAAATGGAGGGTTAGACACATCGCTTTCCCTGGCACACATAAAACACTGCGAGGAGCCCAGGCTCTCTGGTAGTATGTGTTTTCCCAAGCCGCTGGGAGATCCCAGTACTTCACTCAGAAGCATTTCCAATCTTTTTTGTATCCAGATAAGTAACAATGTTGAGGCTTTTGTATAGTCTGGTAATAGAAGAAATTGAAGGGCAGTGGGTGTTTTGGGGAGGTGTCCTCTCATAGTTAATTTGTTCATGAAGACTCCCAAAACCCAAAGCCAAACTATTATATCCACTGGTGTTTTGAGCACCTGAATGGTGCAGCCCTAGCTGAATCTAGAGATACTTGATGAACCTCTGTGGAGGAAAACCAGCCTTATTTATCTGCTTGTTTCTGCCAGTTTCTAGGGGTTGCAGCCTACATGCTGATGAAGTTTTTAGACCCACTATCAGTGCAAAATTTAATTTAGTTAAATCAGATGAGAACAGTGCTGCTTTTCCAGTGACTTGCTTATTTGCAGCACATACTGCAAATTAAGTGCCAGGGTTGCATCTGTTAGCCCATGTGGTACAAGCTTTCCAAAATCTTGGAAACGTATATTAACTTCATCTGAAACAGTTTCAAGAAGCACTGAATACCTAGTAGGTTGTATATCTTTGAGACCTTTAAACAAACACCCAGTCCTTAAGAAATGGTAGGAAATGAAAATCAACAGTAAAACTCAAACTACGTGAGCCACAACCACAACTCTAACCAAATAATGATGTAATTTTTGCAAATTGGATTAGGCATGAAATGAGCCAAGTGAATATTTGGAGATCAACAGTGTGATTCCTTAGAAATGAGAAGTGAGTAGATCAAAAACACATCATCTGTATGACTCAATTTTAAAGCTTTTTTTTTTTTTCCTGCATGTTTTGGGGATGTAAATAATTAAATTGAGCTCCTCAAGATAAACCTGAGCATTCTGTGTTCTTGCCTGCCAGTGAGTTGAAAGTTTTGCTTATGAGTGATGACCATTTTCCCAAAATCTTGGAATTTGAAGTACCATTCCTTTTTTAACTTGCATGAAAATACATATGGCAAAATAAACTTGCCCCTAAAGTAGGTAAACAAAAGTCTCATTTGGTTTTTTAATGAGAGGAGAGCTGTTTGGCCCATCGGAGATGCATTTAAATTATATGAGGCAGACATAGAACTGCACAGATTAGAGTGTCAGTATGCAACATTTCCCTTATCAAAGCATCTATGTATGTTTGTACTTTTCTGCAGATAGCTCTGAAGAGTTATGAAAGACTTGCAGTGAACAAAGCAAGTTTTTTTGATTTGAATCAAATGCAAGTATTCACCTGAAGTTCTTCAACTGACTTAAATTTGTTTAAAACATACTTATTTAACAATTGATGGATTGCTGTGAAAAAAAATGATTTTTTTTTCTCCTCTCTCCACCCCTCCAACCTCCTGTTTGTTTTTAGACTTTTTGCACTGTTTGTGGTAGGAGGGTGCTTCCTTTATATCCTCAAATTACGTTTTGGCCCTGAAGAATGTGACAGAACGAAAATGCAATATGTGGACCTCGATCGTGTAAGGGTTGGTATTTTTTGGCGTTCTTTTCCTTGGCTTAAAAAAAAAGTTATTAATTGACAATATAAGAGTTATAAGGGTCTATAACAGAGAACTAGAATGCTGAAATTGTCCTGTGAGGGGAAATAAATTTTGCGTCATTTCATGCTATAGAAGTTTTGGTTTTTGTTCTTGTGGAGTGACAACAGAAGTGCATAGGGAAACTGGATTTTTAGGGGTAAAATGAGATACCTGTGACTGTTAACATTTGTAAGGGACCATGTCGTCATACGATTGTGTCAGTGCCGATGACACTGGTGATCAGTAAATTGATGCAAATGAAAAGTAACATATTTAACAAAAAAAAAGCTCCTAATCCAACACATTAAACCAAAGGTTTATTTTTACCTAAGCCAGTTCCCCATCTGCTTTGTCTTGTAGTTGCTCAGATGTTTTTGAATCAAAGGGCAAATGTGCAGGAGATTGCAGCTCTTGGTTCATTTATTTATTTAAGGTAGCAGCTAATTACATCAGCTGCAATTTTGCATGTGGCTTTTAAGCTGGTGTATCAGACGCCACTAAAACTTTCTGTTAATGACATCTCTCTGCCTTTGCCACTTAACCTGTTTGCTTTTTGTAATAGTATTTACCTTGGCTTAGAGTTGTTATATTTCTGTCTTTGAGTGTCTCAATGCTAAGACACAACTTAACAGCAGAAGCCCTGATTTAAGATAGTCTCATCTTAGCATCACATCATGTGCATCCTTCCCTACCTCCCACCTTCTCCAGTGAATGTTTTTCACTTCTAAGCCTCTTTGCCTTCCCACCTCCCCTTGTATCCTCATTTGACTTATTTATTTTCTCGATAACATATTCCTGCTTCCAAATAACCACCACCTTTAGCCAAACCTAAAGGCTGAGTGGACTGTGTGTATTGCTGTCTCATGACTCATTCTGTTTGTGGTAGATGCAGGGTGAGGAAATAGCATTACTCTTTGTGTAGTTAGGTAGTAGCTGATTGCATACTGTTTGGGTGACTGGCATTAATTTTTACTGATAAGATGTACAGCTGTCAGCCTTAAAAATGAGGCTCTTTAGAAGATGTGTTGACTCTTGCTGGCAAAGTACAGCATGAAGTTGCTCGGTTGTGCTTTGCCCGGGAAGAAGTGTGGTGTTTATGGCCAGACTTGCAGAGATCTTTGTAACAGTGGGAGAAGTAGTTCTGTGGAGCTATCTTGTCTGAAAAAAAAAAAAAAAGGCAGCATGACTTCCCTCCTTGTGCACCCAGATAGATACTTGTTTCCCTTTCGTTAACAGTACGGAAGAGGAACTTATTTGAATTTGAATCTCGACTAGATTTGAATCTTGACTCTGACCTCTGTGTTTGCTCATGGCTTTTTTTTTTAATCACAGTGGAGCAAAGATCAGCAGAGTCTGAAAAGGAAGAAAACATGCAAAAATATTTTAACTAATGAAAATAATGCCTGTGCTATTTCTCTTCTTCCTTACATGAGATACTGGCTTGCCACTATAGATTTCTAAATATCGTACATTAATTTTTTTTTTTTTTTACTGAGACAAATCAATGTGTGGTTTTATCTGACAGCTTAATCTTTTTATGCAATATGAAACTGTGGTCTCTTTATTTTGGTGACTAAGCTTTGAAAGAAGACCTAAAACACCTCCACCCTGCATTCCTTTCAAAGTTGTGTTTTGGTCATTAGCAAGACCACTTCAGCAATACTTCTGGAAGAAGTGTTGCTTCAGTTTCGTTAGTAAGCAAGTCCAGCCTGCCATTTCACAGGACTTTTACCTGGTGGATGTGTCTCTGGTAAAATCTTACCGCAGGCAGAACTCAGGTCACGCAATTGAGCAGCGGAGTAGAATTCCACTTGCTGGCTTGCTGCTGAATTAGATGGGTAGAAGTGCGTCTAGATTTTTTTTTATCTGCTTTTCTAAGTAACAGTACAAATGTTCTCAGATGGTTCATTTTCACTTCTCTTTTAGTAGTGTAATTTATTCTTTAGAAGAACTCCTATCCAGATTTGAGTGATTGGATGGAGAGCGATACCTTTGCAGGTTTTCACCCTGCACTGGCTAGTATCTGTATTTAGTGAATGCTTTAAAATGCCTTGTATTTCCATGTGTAAGCTTTCTTTTTAAACTCCTGCATTTGCTGAACTGCTAGTGGTCAGCTGGTGGGTTGCAGTAACAGAGCTTTGTATGTTCCTGAAGCTAACTTTCCTGACTGAAACCATGTATGTTTTGTTTCAGAGAGCACAACAGTATGCCAGCGCTGCATTGCAGGAACAGTGCCGGCCTTCTTATGCAAAGAAAGAAATGGGGAAGCTATTTGCAGAGAAATATAGCATGGACATATCTCCCTTTGTAAGAAAAAATATAAATGAAGATGAAGATTTATTTAAATATGAACCTCCTTTTGGATTTCACAAGTTCTTTGATAAGCTTAAAAATATCCTTGAACTCTTACCTGAGCATGATTTACCAGAAGATTTGAAGTCAAAACACTGTAAGCGTTGTGTTGTTGTTGGCAGTGGTGGAATTCTTCATGGATCAGAGCTGGGTCACTTATTGAATCAGTTTGATATTGTTATAAGGTACTTACTTTCCATTTAAGGATTCCAACTACTTCAACTTTATGAGCTGATTTGTTTTTTAAGGGGAAAGCATCTCCAACATTTACACAACTTAGAAGACTATTTCTGAAAGTGCTTTTGAGAAATTTACTTGTGACTTGATGGAATTTGAAGTCTTAGAAGCAAAATAAATTGTCGTGTTCACAAGATAGGAATTCAGTGTAATTATCTGTGGACTTCAGATACAAAATAACATGGGCAGAAATGAGATAGAAACCAGTGAAGTCATAGACAAGTAGACAATTGTGGTTTTATCCATTCGTAAGTTTAAGCTTTCAGAGGTAGGCTTTAGGATTGACTTCTGCCGTTTTCCCCTTGGTTAGTTGGGATGCTTGTTTGAAGGATTTCTATTACAACAGCTATTTCAAACACAATAAAAATTAATTGGTGTTTCAGTATACAGTTTGTTTGCACACTGTCTAGCATGCTTATCTTTCCTTATCTTTACAAGGTCAGTGCATGCTTTCTATGATTACCCGTATTTTCTAATGTCTGAATTAAATTAATATGTGTATTCATGCCTTCTAAACATTACTCTGTGAACTCTCCTTCTTTGTATTTTGAATGGTGTAGAGTCACAAATAAATACAATACAAGCATTTTCGCAAGTTGCTTTGTAAACTAAGACTTGCTCCCCTTAAAGGAAGACTTGATACAATCAGTCAATAGTTCTTATGCGAAGGTAAATAAACCTGTTAGCATGTGGAGGAGCGAGAACTTGTATTAACTGTTCTCTGAAATTAGGGCTGGCAGCATGAAAGTGACTTTTCTGTTGATAGAGAAAAGTCTGTGGGACCTGTGCTGTTCTGCTGAACTGATGGAGCTGGATGATGCTGTTCATGTCAGCAGTGTGCTAGCATCTGAAGTTTTTAGTGAGCTGGAATGATGTAAACCCACAGGATGCATTACATTGCATTGAAAGGGTAATTTGAATGCCTTTCTGTGTGTTAATCCTCCCGTGGGTATATGTGTGTGTATATATACATAAGAAAGATAACACAGGCAACTTCCCGTGTATTTTCTTTCCCTTCCTCTTTTGAGCCTCTCTGGGTTGGCACAAGGCAATGAATATTAAATTCAGCAGTGCTGTTTTAAGTTACTTTTCTATTCAAGCTTTTCTTTTTGAGGTTTTGCATTTGTGCCAGTTCCAGAAATAGAATTGGCTTCCTCCCAAAGATAAGGGATGGATGAGTGTGTGAAGCGAGAAACATGGCAATACTGAGAAAATGCTATAATCTGCTCTGTTAAAAATCTGTGAGCCAAATACAAGTTCTTAGCTTGGTGTCTGATGTTTTAATGAAATTGTAGCCTATGCTTACGAAATACATTTTCTCTCTGTTGTGGTTTTTTATTTGTTAGGTTAAATGATGCACCAGTTCAAGGATACACAGATCATGTTGGTAACAAAACTACTATACGGATGACTTACCCAGAAGGAGCCCCTCTTTCTGAACATGAGTATCCTCCTGCTAGCTTGTTTGTGGCTGTTTTATTTAAAAGTGTTGACTTCAATTGGCTTCAAGCAATGGTGAAAAATGAAACCTTGGTATGTAGTGTGGCAGTGTTATGTATCTGTGATTTTTGTTTTTTCTTTTCTAATACTTAAGAAGCTGGCGGATCTGTTAATTCCTGTTTTATTATACTGAGAATCTTTTATTTAACTTTGTCAGTTTTTTAGCTATGTCTCCTGGTTACAGTTGGTACCAGCATTCATATTGAAGGCCCATGCTGACAGTTGCACTTTTTTTCTGCAGATATTGGTGGTTTGCACCAAGCTCCGTGACATATTGAGTGTTTACTAAAGGGGAATTCATTTCACATTAGGTTTAAATTACTTATTCAAGTCTGCAGAGCCTGAAACAGAAATGAGACTTATGGATGCCAGTCCATATTTTTTTTTAACAGCTGAAGTCCGTGGTGCTACAGTAGGCATACCTGAAGTTAATGTGTGACGGAACTATTGCAGTTGTTAGTTCACGTTTGTCTGTGGTTCCAAAATTAAGAGGTTGTTTATTTCTCACTGAATATTTAAAGAAGTGCAGAAATTCCTAACGAACTGATAGAAGGGTGGGTTCCATGTTTCCAGACTCTCTTTAAATTGGTGGTTTTCACCTCTTTCAATCTGCAGGCAGATAATTCTGCAACTTGAAAACCAGTAGCTAGGTTTCTCTGACCACACATTGAAAACAAGTGGTCTACATTGTTGAGATAGATTTAGAAGAAAGCCTGACAAGTTTTTTAATTTGATATGTACTAGTTTAGGTACTCCAAGTTTCCTTTCTGAATTATGTGATTTTTTACAACATGAGGGTATGTGGAAGGTCTGTTTAATATTGACCATGACTGTCTACTACTACTTTAGCCCAGAGAGTGTGTGCAGGGATATTGCCTTGTTTTGAATACTGAGTATGTTTTGTAGAGGGGAGATTTTACTGAATGCATGAATTTGCATAAATTGAAGAACTTCTGCTCCCTGATTTTTTTTTTTTTTTTTTACTAGGGACAAGGCAGTGTTGGTCTATGACCTCCCCTGCAGCAGTGTGCTAAGTTTGATGACCAGCAGCATTCTAACTTGAGTTCAATCCCTCACTTACTTGTTTTACAAGCTATCTGGCTATTTCATGTTTTAAGGTTTGATTTTGAAGAATAAATAGTATCAGGATGGCTTTCTGCATTAAAACTTGTTTTAGTGGGATTGAAAGAGTGATTGCTTTTTGGCATCTGCAGCATCCTCTGTTAGTAAGTTAAAAGACTGAAGTATGTGCTCTATGAAGAGTACCTTTTATTGTCGTGCATGGCTTAGGAGCTGATCTGCTCATTCCCACCTTCTTGATTGCTCTGGTGTTTTGCTGGTGTGGAGAGCCAGTTTTGGGAACTGATCTGGGAATGGGCATACTCGAGAGAGTCCACTGAAAGGCCACGAAGATGCCTAAGGAACTGGAGCATCTGCTCTATGAGGAAAGGCTGAGAAATGGGACTGTTTAGCCTAGAGAAGAGAAGGCTTAAGGGGAAATATTACTAATGTACATAAATACCCAAGGGGAGGGTGCAAAGAGGACAGAGCTAGGCTCTTTTCAGTGGCGCCCAGTGACAGGACCAGAGGCAATGGGCACAAACTGAAACACAGGAGGGTCCTTCTGAACATCAGGAAACAATTATTGACTGTGAGGGTGACTGAGTGCTGGCACAGGTTACCTAGGAAGGTTGTGGAGTCTCCATCCTTGGGGAGATATTCCAAAGTCATCTGGACATGGTCCTGGCCAACTGGCTCTAGGCGACAGGGTTCTTGGACCACTTGACCTCCAGAGGTCCCTTCTAACCTCAACCACTCTGTGAACTGAAAACGTACTTTTCCTTTCAAGTAACTAGGCTTTCAGTTGGATCAGCTCTCTGTGCAGGCATTGATACTTTAGTAAACTTTCAGAGCTCGGGAAGATGGGACCATGGCAACCTAGATTTGATCAGTTTAAGCTGCTGTAGAGTTGTATGTTAGGGTAGCAATAAGCCTGTTTAAAAAAAAAAAGTAAGTCTGTGTTGCAGCTATATAAGTTTTATAATTTGCTTAGTGTTATGCATTATATGAAAAGATTTGTAAAATGAGCAGAATTGGTTTTAGAATTGGTTTTTCCATTAGCACACATCTAATTGACTGCAAGTGGCATGAGATCACAATCTAGCTTGCTGAGTTGTGTGTAAATCCTCTTCTGAAGTGTTACATTTATCACTAAGTGGATACTGTCAAACAACAGCTGTTCACTTCAAAGCCTGAGCAGCATTGTTTTAAATCCAGTGCTTGCTTCAGAATGCCTGGTTAATGTTTGTGGAAACCCTTCCCATTTATTTAAATACTGCTGCCTGCTCAGTTGTGCTGGGGAAAGTCCAAAGAACCTGGAGGTGCTGGTGGATACATTGACTGATTAAACACAAAGTGCAGTCAAATATTCAGAATAAATAACTTTTCCCTCTGCTGTCCTCTCTGCAATTCCAAATACTTTGAAGTTTTTTCCTCTTTTGGGTCAGCCGCTTGAGCTGTACACTGGTATTCTTGAACCACCTTAACTATAAACTGTTTCCTGAATTTCTCAGAATCACTGATGAATTCTGTAACTTGGTGTACTGTGCCTGCCATATGCTTTGCAGTCTGAGTTTCCCTTTGGTGAACTTTTTTTTTAACCTTTTTTTTAGCCTCTGTGGGTGCGACTATTCTTTTGGAAACAGGTTGCTGAGAAAATTCCTTTTACATCAAAGCAGTTTCGGATTCTGAATCCAGTTGTCATCAAAGAGACGGCTTTGGACATTTTACAGTTCCCTGAACCTCGATCAAAATTCTGGGGTTGGGATAAGGTAAGAAGTTTCCGTTTTGGAGAACGAGACTATAAAATACAAAGTTAAAAAAAGAAACTGAAAAAAGTTTTGGGCTCTCCTTTCAATATATAGCTTCTCTGTGCAGCTTCAGAGCTGGTCTCAACTCACAGGGAAATCAGTATGCTCTCAAAAGGCTCCTGTATTTTTTTATGTAAAATCAAAGTAGGATTTCAGCTCACCTTTTCAGATGAGGTATTATTATTATTATTATGCCTTGTGCATGCTGATGTGAACTGGCCTGTTTTACGAAGCATTCAGATGCAGTGAGACAAATTCATTCCAGTTGAGTATGTTCACTCACACATCATTGTGACTGGTGTTAAATATTCAAAACACGCATTTGATGCATGTTAAGTGTGTTAAGAGCAGCTCTGTTAAGTCAAAGCAGCAATCAGCTCTAGACAGATGTCTCTCCAGCTGCAGGGAAAGCAGAGGGGGTATGGAAACAAGGCCAGTGTAAAGCAACCTTCCAACAGCTGGAATTGCTGTGCATGCCAGTGTGCTCAATATCAATTGATGGGTATATCCTCCCTCTGTGTCCTTTGCTCCAGGAATGGTATAGAGTGATGAATTGCCCACTTTAATTATACATTGCATTTTTGTTATTTAATTGTTTGAGAAATTGGATGTCACTAGTTCTCTTGAACTACAAAAAAACCGCTGAGTAACCATTGTCTTTTTACCTTTTGTGTGAAAGCATTTGATGGTAGTGTTATTACACGAATGTTTGAAGGATCTTCCCATGTGAGTTTATCAAAATAACATAACATACCAAGCTGTGTATCTTGTAGTTGTATGGTAGTATACTTGCCTTCTTCATGGGTAGTTCAGTGAAAAGTCATACTCTGAAGGATGCTGTTAGAGACCCTTTTGCTCAAGACTGAAGTAAGTGTACCTCAAGAAATGTCAAGTTTAACTGCATGTCATTGTTTGAGTGTTTGGAGTGAGGGTTCACTTGTAGTTTAACTACATAGTAATGAGGTCTCTTGCCTTTATAGAAAAAAAATTTAGTGTTGACAGCCAGAAATATTGCTAAAGGCAAATACTCGAGTTGTATTAGTATTTGGCCCTGGAATTTTTAGTTTTATTTGGTCATTTAATTGATTTTTAGTTTTAGGTGTAATTGATTTTACTTTTGATTGTTTAATTGATTTCAGTTTTAAGTGAGGAGAGGGAATAGACAAAGCCATTAAATTTTGCAAAGTGTTTATAAAAACTGGCAAAGGAGAATATGTTTGAATTCATCAGGTTTCATTTCTCCCCCTTTTTAGAATGTACCTACAATTGGGGTCACAGCAGTTGTTCTGGCCACGCATTTATGTGATGAAGTGAGCTTAGCAGGATTTGGATATGACCTCGATCAGCCCAGCACACCTTTGCACTATTACAACAACCTCTGCATGGCTGCCATGAACGGACAAACTATGCACAATGTGACAAGCGAAACAAAATTCCTGCAAAAACTGATCAAAGAAAAAGTTGTCAAAGACCTCACTGGTGGGATACATTGTGAATTCTGCAGCAAAGACAGCTAGTGACTGAAGTGCGGCATGGTTTGGGTTTGTTCAATTTCCAGAGGTTCAGCCAGAACACCCTTTTCACTGTCTTAAGTAGTTCTTTAAAGTGTGTATAAAATGGATGTGGAATCTCTGCTGCCTTTTTTAATGTCAGGTTCAATTTGTTGGACTTTTAAATTTATTTTGATGTCAGATTTTACTTTGCACATTTTTGTGGATAACTATGTAAATACAACTTGGAGCTGAAAGATATCCATTTAAAGTATTTAATGTTTTAAGTTGTCGGAAGAAAAGCAGAGTTTTTGTTTTCAGATATATATAGTACGCACAATGCTAACCTGAACTGTCTAACAGCATACAAGAGTTATTTTCCACTGAACTGCTGTCTTTGTTGATGCAGTTCTTGGTGTATGACTGCTTTTCATGCATGCCATGAAAAGAAAGGGGTATGCTTCTCAAGTCTTTCATTTCTTGCAACTTGAGCATTTTCCCCCTCAAATATTTATGTTCTTTTGGTTTTGTGGTAATAGTTTTTGGGGGGTGTATGAGGAATGTGAGAGTGGAGGTGAAGGAAAAGGAACCGTTGTGGCAACAACTGAATAGTAAGTACTTTGGCGTTCATGATTGACACTAAAATCATCGATGCATTGATGTATTGGGTTAGAATCCTGCTTTATCATGAGGCGTGTTTGGGCCCAGGGCACACCATGGGAGGATTTAACCAGTAGACTTTCACCTGAATCAGATCTTTTGTCATTTCCTTTCCTTAAGACCCAGATGAATGTTTCTGACTGATTTGCAGCAGAGTTCAGCTACCCCAATTAAAGAAGTGGCGTTAATAAGAAACCTACTCCCTCCCCCCCCCCCCCCTTTTTTTTTTTTTTCTTAGAGTGACTTGAGAATTGCTGGTTCTATAAAACACTGGTTTGTATAAATCCTTCATTTGGCAATAATAGAATCTATGACTAGGCTAAAATGTCCATTGGTTTACTTTATGATCCTTATGTAACAAATGACAGATATCGTAACCTTAATAGTTTACAATGATAATGACCCATATGAACTCTGGTGTTGGCTATTTGAAAGGAGAGGTAGAGTTGTTAGTTTTTGTGGATCAGCTTTTACGTTAGCAATTGGGTGAGCATGTATAAGTTAAGAAGAAAATCACTTGGAGAAAGTAGTATTATCTAGTAGCAAGCTAGATAGCTGCTCAAGGCAACACACTTAAAAAAAGTTATAGATACATGTTCTTGTGACTGGAAATCAGTGCATTGCCAAGAAACTGGACTGTGCAGATCTGCAAGCAGGTTTTGGTGTTCATTTTCGTTTCATTACTAGTAGAGTAGCAGCTATGACTATGTGTGCACTGAGTAATGTTGTTGCTCAATCTACAGGATGTGAAGAATGGTTTCTTTGGACGAAAGCTTGTTAGCAAATTTATCAAAGGTTGGCCTAGAAACATTGTTCATAGTCATGGACCTTCCACATGGTGGACCTTCCACATGGTGAACATTCCTTTTTTTTTGTTGTTATGGGCAAAGACATGAATGTAGTTGTAGTTTTAAATTTTCAAAATACTAACATGGGAAAGGTGGTTGGGCTTTTTGAAGCCAGTTGTGGATGGTGAGCAAATTTGAAAATCAGATTTTTGTGTCTGGCACTGTGTGTGTTTATAGCAATAATACTAATCTAACTTCTCATACTTTGTGAAACACATTAATTTTTGTACTAGCAATAAATTTCTGTTTTACATTTTTCATGTAAGTGTAATTATACTGTTTAATTTAAAAATACTTCATGTGTGAAGAGTTTTATACAGATAGTCTTTTAGTTAATATATTAAAATGTGCTAATTATTTTCTCCTGGTATTTAAGCTGGAAGTAAAGTACCTTAATTTCATTTGGTATTAGTGAAATTTTGGAAGAGTTCGGAATGTGCGTGTTGGGCAGGACATCCTGAATACACTGAAGGTTTCATTGGTCCCTCACCAGCTTGCTTTACTCAGTAACTTCAATGTAATTAGTTGATTAATGTAAATGCCAATAAGTTTTTGGAGATGCTGTATTTACTGTCAAATTCTCAAATTACGTTGATGTAAGATTAGATTTTTTTTCTTCCCCACCAGTTTTATGGCTTGTGGTAAAACGTTCTTCTCCGTGGCAGTGTATGCTGCATTGAATATGCCTGCACAGACTTGGCCATCTGTGAAATGGTAGCAAAGTTCAGGTTGCAAAAAGCAATAAACTGATGAAACCACTTTCTACTTATGTATTTGTCTCACAGTTTGCAATTTGTTCTGCCTCCTTTATTAAGGATTTTACATGTCTTACTGGTCCAATTGAAAGTCTTGAAGCAATCCCTGGCACTCAAGAAGAGAGAGTTAATGGCTGATGGTAACTCTTTCTCCTTTCATTTGTACCTTTTTAATAGTGGGGGTGTTCTCTCTCTCTGGTGCATGAAGGAGAGAATCCATCTCAACACTGACCATATTGTAGGCTTCCAGGATTTTGAAGTTAGTGTGGATGAGAATGTTTCAGACTGGGTTATAACACTGGTCTTAAATTCAAGGGAGTCTCTTTCAGTGCTGGTGACAGACTGCAGATTCTGGTCAGTGCTTCTGCCTTGCTGGAGGTAAGAACAAAAGCTGCGAGTCTGTATTGCTGTGTCCCAAACCTTATGCTTTGCAAAGAATCTGCATCATTCCTTCTAGATATGCCTTGATGGTATATGTTTAAAAAGTCTAACAAAGATTTTGGGAGCTGTGATAAAGCCGTTGTGTTCCACATCAGAATTTCTCTTTGTAACTCTCCTCTCTGCGCAGGAGCTATCACAGTTATGTATGTGTCTGACCTGTTCTGATGATGATTTTTTTTCATGCCTCCTGTGCAGGGAACATAACTTCAACTTTGTCCTCCCTTGAATTTAGGGTGGTTGTTAAGTACTTGCATATCTATTATTATTTATATTTTCAGGTGAGATAAGTAGAAATTCTCTGTTAGGACTAAACAAATCTGAAACTGTTTTGAAGATGTAGATAAATTGTGAAGCTTTTTTTTTTCTTTCAGTATGTTCAGATTTGTATGGCCATGTAGGGAATCATGAAAGAGATGAACAGGATCCTTGTTTTGGCTAGATAAAATTTGTTCAAACAAGTGGGAACTTAGAATTGCCAAATGTGAATTTATGGTGCTGTTTTTCAAGTGTTTATAGAAGTCCTGCATCCAGCTGGTTTATCTTCAGCTGGAGACAAACTGATATCACCTTGGAAAAGTACCACAGGTAAAGTTACAATGTTATACCACCATGAACATGTGCCAAAGCTACACAAGGAGACCTAGAGAGCTGCTTGACTGCAGAGTGGGAAGGTGCTGAAACAGGCGTTTGCAGTCTGCGACCAGTTGACATCGGAACTGGATGTTGAGCTTGTAGGGTCATCTGTTGAGATGCTGATGAGGAACTGAAGAGCAGCTCAGCCTCTCAGTAGATGGATGTGTGCCAATGGCTTCAGCTCTTGTGCTGCAGTTGGAACTCCAGCGGGAGATGGGAGGGGATCAGAGGAGGCAGCTGTGTAGCATGAGTGCGATCTCTTTGCCTGTCACCAAGGGCAGGTGAAGGAAGAGCTCATGCACCTCTGTTGGGACCTAGCACAGGTATGATGCTGTGACTCCTTTCAGCCTGCCAGCAGCAAGGTTTTATACAAATACCTGACTTTACCAGTACCCGGATCTTGCCCTCTGAAATTTCTGTTGCCTGGGAAGGGTGTTGCCTTTCCCAATTTCAAATGTACCTAAGGTGGTGTTCTGCATAGCTCTTTTATTGTTAAATAAATCTGGGATACACATGCTGACTAACATTTGTTGCTGTCATCTAAAATGAAGGCTCTTTGTTTCTTGAGAAAGAACAACCTTGGCCTTGTGTTGTAAACAAAAAGCCCAGAAAAATCCTGCCTCTTGGGGTTGAGATAATTATGAATGCCAGCAAAACTGGAGAATATGATGATATTTAAAAATCCTGCTGATGAAAGGCTAAGTGCTGTTGGAGAAACCATTGCCTGAAGTGACATATGACCAGATCCAACTATGAATTAAAGGATGAAGGGGTGTGAAGAGGGACAGCTGAGCCCTGCTGTGAAATCCAACCCCTTTGTTCTGCAGCCACCTAACTCTGGAAATATTTACTTTCTTGTAGCAGCACAGGTCTTGACCTGAAAGTTCCCGAAGCTCTAGAGCTTATGTTTGTAGACAAATGTAGGTACATCCTAGTCACAACACCTTTGAGTGGTTTGGCATCAGCCTTTGCCCTGTGTCTCATGAGATGTTGGAAGGTAGGTGGACCCGCTCATTGAGTCCCTGAGGGGCTTGGTTACTCCACACCCAAAACTCCCCATATGTCTAATTGCCTTTCCCAGGCACAATGTGTTTTTCTTCTTCCTCCTTGGCTATTTTCTTTATTTTCCCTAGAACAACCCCATGAGCAGGGGCTGAAGCACCCACTCACATACCCACCAGTGGTGTGGATCGCAAACCTGGGTGCCTCCATCTCAGCATGTCCCCAGCCGAACGGCTTATGTGTTGCAAGGTGAGTGCTCTTACTGTTTGACCAAAACTACCCATGTTTTATACGTCTCTAACCCTCCCCACCGTTCCTGGGAAGGAGCCGCAGTGCTCACAGTTCTGTGCTAGTCTGTGTATTGGTGATGTATCAGCACCTGTACGCTGCCATGTGGGAATCCTTCTGCTCAAACACTGCCTTTATTCCTTGCACCTCTCAGTATCAAAGGTATTGCACTTGTGTTCTAAAAGCAGTAAGGCTTTTTTAATTAAAAATAATACACTAAGATGCCTTCCTTTAAGCACATCAAGGGATCTTTTGATGGAAACCTAGTACATGTTTCTCACAAGCTGGAGTTCAAACTTTATCACATGTGACTGACTCTTCCAGGGTTGCAACACTGTCAGTGGCATCTCTGATGGGTGAGGTAGGAGGCAGGCGTTAAATCAAATGTGCTCTGACAATTTTTGTGGTCTATATTGATACGCAAGGTCAGGAATTACCGGGACTGGTTTTTCAGGTGGGGTGGAGAGGCAGTGCCTCTAGATTTTGTTAAATCTCTTCAGCTGCCTGCCTGTTCCAGCAGATTTACCCTTCTTGCCCAAACACTTGTGCATCACCTCTTTGTGGTTTAAGAAAAAAAAAACAACTTGTGATTCAATCTCAATTGAAATTCTCATACCTGGTAACCCCTGTGTTTTCCAGCCTGTGAACTGCTTGGAGGGTTGAGCAGGGCTGAACGTAGGTGGTTTTACCTCCCTTTGG